GCCTCAACCTTAGCATGGGTTTACCCAGACACTACAAAAAGGGACCGTAATTTTGACAACCACCCTAATCGACCCCCCCAGCAATTCTTGGAGGGTCTGGGGACTTAGTAAGTAGGTTATAAATAGACTTACAAGTGCCTTAAAAGGGACCCTATTTGGGGTTATGGTATTTATAAGTCTCTAAAATAACTATTTGCTACGTAAGTCCCCTGACCCTTTAAGTAATCGACCCCCCATCCATACTTTTCGGGCCTCGAAGCTCCGGGGCAGCTCCGGAGTCGACGAACCAGCCTGAGACCGAATGCAAGAGGAGCTCTGTTACTCTATGGGAGTTTCCGAAGGTTAGGGGTGCCTTATTTTGGTGTCCTTATAAGAAGGATCCTACTATTTAGGGAACTATATAAGGGCCCCCTGTTTTCGGAAACTCCGATATGATAAATAAAACCCAAAGGGTCCTATGTACTGTAGTGGGGAATACTTCCCCAAATCATAAAAGTAATTCCCAATATAGGAACCCTTCATTCTACTATATCGATACTTTGGACCCTTTGGGCTACTGTTGATGATAGAAATCCTGCATTACCTTAGGATCCTGGGCTATGGGAATAATGGTATATTCCTCACTATACGTAATGCAGGATTTATATCATTAACCGTAGTAGTAGAGTAGGAAACGTTTAACTATTGTTGGTATTATAGTCCCTATATAATTAGTCCCCAAAAGGGTTAACCTTTAGTTCCCCATGATACCCGACATGTAGGGTTACTGAATATAGGCTCAACCCTATAAGGGCAGGAGTTCTAAAAGCCTAAAGCCTGCAATGTTGCAGAGCCAACCGTCAAAATCTAAACCCTCGACCCCGAGCCCAAAACTTACGAGCCTTCGGGTGGCGCTTAAGGAACACGGCCATGTGGTGGGCATGGATATGTCACTTCCGGTAGTGTTGCCATTTCATGATCAAGTGGTGAGATGCCACATCTTCATTGATATTGCAGACCCCGCATTCAGAAAGCCCAAACCCTAAACCCCTAAACTCTCAGACGCCGTCTCTTCACAAGCATGGGTACAATTCTACAGAGTACTGCTGAAGCGTTAAAGCCCTACAGTCTGTAACCTCCAATTCTTGAGAGTACACACCAATGAAGGGTGAAGTCTTAAACCCAAAACCCCGAACCAGTTTAGGCTTAAGTCCTAAACCCTTAACCTGCTTAGGTTTGAATCCTAGATCCAGAGCAACCTGCTACGCCCAGGTTTGCTTTGGTGCGCATCGTTGATGGCTCGCTTGTCAGCGCCGCTCTGTCACTTATCCGCATAGAAGAGGCGAATGGGGCTCGGGTATGCAAGGCTTTTGATTTAGGGCTAAAATGCTACAGCATCTGTTGTTCAGGGTTCTGGGTACTCCACAGTGCTTGGTAGAGTTTCTAGGAGCCTTTTGGAATGTGGTTTACATGAGGTTGTTTCTGCAAGGCTACTAGCACATGGGATCTTTTACCAACCTAGTGCTCTCTTGGCCTCGTTTCGCATTTTGACTTAGCAACCCTGGAATCGAAATCCGAGATTTTAGGGCTCGAAGATTATCAGGACCTTTAGGGGGGGTTTCGCACGACTGCTCTCTCCTTATCCTGTGAGCAAAACTGTACCTGTGATTTACACACATGCCGCGTATGCACAGTGCAAAGCGGCCCGACCCCTCCGGTTTCATAAACCCCATCCCTGAACTGTAATCCACAGGCCTCGGCATCCTGCTTGCAAGCTGCCGGAGATGCAACAAACAAAAGGTTGATGGAGCCACCGTAGACCCTGCCTGTATCCCCAAACCCCTACAAGATAGTAGGTTATGACCAACCGTGGGTTTTTGGATCCCAAGCTAAGCCCTAGGCACAAGCAACAACACACATACACATAATTCCCTAAGCCCCTAAACCCCGAACATCTCAACCCCAAGCCTGATAAGTTGTTATTGGATATCTGGTCTAGTTGCAAATATGCTTCCCTGCAGAAAAAGCAAACAAAGTGCTCAAGCGTGGCTCTACTCTGAGGATCCTGGGGTGTAGGGTTTAGGGTTTGGGGGTTTCGGGTTTTAGGGTTGATGGGTGTGACAGTCTAGGGTACGGGGTTTGGGCTTTAGGGTTCTGGGGCTTTAGGGTAAGTTTCAGAGAGACCCATAGCACGAGTTTATACATGGGGTCTAAAGCATACACAGAGCGAGCCCAAGTATATAATTGAAAGCTCGAGCCCCGCGATCTTTTCAGTTGTGTTTAGCATGTAAGTTGGGAGCTGACTGCTCGAATCTACTTCGAGATCATGGGACTTAGTAAGTATAAGGTTCTAAGTACCTTAATCGGGGATATGAGATAAGTAATTATAAGTATAATTACCTTCATTATAACCCTAGTTACTAAGTCCCATGACCCTTCGAGTAAACTCATAAAACCTCCTTTTCACGCTTACCGCCAGTGTACACGGCCTCTGGACTAGGGCGAGAGTTTACGGTGCAAGCATTAAGGGTTTTGGAGTCAGACATGCACGGTTTAGGGTCGACCATATCCTAGACCCTGAACCTTAAACTTTACACCTTAAACCCTCAACTGGCAGCGAGGCTACCACTTCTTGCTTCTGCCCGCACCCCAGGGCGGTCAGGGTTTCGCATCTGGTGCAGAACGGGTGAGGGTTTAGGGTTTTAGGGTTCAGGATTTTGAGGTTTAGGGTTTTAGGGTTTAGGGTTTAGGGTTTTAGGGTTTAGGGTTCAGGGTTTTAATGTTTAGGGTTTGAGGGGTCTAGGGGTTTAGGGATTGAGGGTTTAGCTTTCGGAAATGTGTGCAGTTTCGGGGGTTTGTCTAGGCCCCAAGACGTTTTGCCCTCTTGCCAACTGCAATATCTACTACTCAGGGGTACTTAGAAATATTTTTTTTAACTTTTGGTTATTATAATCCCTAAGAAACAGCTAAAATTATAATTTTTGCTAGGGTTCTAAGTTCAGTATAGACTAGGATGCCCAGTAGTACCCTTATTCCCTTTTTGTAGTCCTAGGTTACTTATAAATTGTAAAGTTACCCAATACCAAAAGGGGGGAGCCCTTTTCATTTCTAGGTTACTGGGCATCCTAGCCTCTAGTCTCCATTACAGCTCCGTTCTTTCATTGGTTTTGTCCACTTATATGTTGTATGTAAGGAGCCTAAAGGGTACTCCAAAAGGGACCTGCAATAAAGACTACAGGTACACTATGGTAAACTCATTACAATAAGTCAATGTCCGGATCCCCATAACGTGTGGATGAGTCCTCTATCGTAGTATCATTATATACGTATGGTACTGGCAGGTTGTGCACGGAGCCTTGCTTGTCAAGCACAGGGATTGGGGCTTAGGGTTTAGGGTGCAGGGTGCGGGTAATCGCCGAGGCATCATCATACGAAGATAGCTCCTCCCGGGCCTGACGATAACTATGTCCTTTTCGAAGAAGTCGTTATCGCGAGCCGCAGAAACGGACTAGACCCTAAACCCTAGAAGAACCGACAACTCTTACACCCTAAAGTCTAAACGTTTAAACTCTAGACCCCAAACCCGCCGAGTCCAAGGGCGGCTGAAGATCCAAACCCTTGCATTTGGCTCTGGAAGCCTGATGGGCTGCTGCAGTTTGGTTTAGGCTTTAGGGTTTAGGGTTATGTGTTCAACCTCTCAGTATTCACGGTAAGATCTACCCCAAGGGACATAATCTAATTATTCAGGGCTACACATTATCACATGTTCTCGCTTGACCAGCTCCAAGCCACAATTCAACCCCAAACAACCTGCCCGTGCCAGCTTTTTTGACAAGAACCCATCATAAAAGCCCTAAGCCCTAAACCGAAAAGCAAGAGCCGAAGCCCGAGGATCCAAGCCAAGGGGACCAGTTTCCAGGCACAATCCCAGGGAGACTCCAAGAAGGGTTCCTTCTTAGGGTTTAGGGTTTAGGGTTCCTTCTTGGAGGGTCGGGGGACTTACTCCCAGTTGGGAAAGTCCTTGCGTTTCGCTCGTGGCAGCGCCAAGCCTTCGGGGGAAGCTTTGTTGCGGGGTCGTTGCGTTTCGGTGTGCACATGGGGGAAAGGCTTTGAAGATGATGATCTGCGGTGTTGGTTTGTTGCAGGGTCCATGAGCGGCTGCTTGCAAAATCGAGTGTCGGCATGGGGAATGGCTGCTTTTGATGTGCTGTTTGCTGTGATGCCCCCGATGTGTTTCTCGAGCGGCTGCTTGCAAAATCGAGCGTCTACATGGGGAAAGGTGCTTTTGATGTGCTGTTTGTTGTGATGCCGCTGATGTGATTCTTGAGCTGCTGCTTGCAAAATCGAGCGTCTCCATGGGGAATGAGTGCTTTTGATGTGCTGTTTGCTGTGATGCCACTGATGTGTTTCTTGAGCGACTGCTTGCAAAATCTACATCGGGAATGGCTGGTTTTGATGTGCTGTTTGCTGTGATGCCGCTGATGTGCTTCTAAGTGCATGCTTGTCGGGGTCCGTTCTTCACCTGTCCCCGGAGGTGTGCAGTTGCAGAAGGCTGCAAAAACGAACCGCAGCACGCAGGTATAAGTGCATGCATGTCGGGGTCCGTTCTTCACCTGTCCCCGAAGGTGTGCAGTTGCAGAAGGCTGCAAAAAACGAACCGCGCCACGCCGGCTTTCACACGAGTTGTTCACTCTTGGGGGACTGTGTGCACGGGGTGTGCTCTTGCGGAAACGGCAAATGCAAGGACTTTGCAGCGACCCCAGTCGTTGCGTGTGTGCAGATGGGGGAAACATCAAAAACGCGAAATGCAACGACAAACTCGCGTAGGAGTAGTAGAACCCTTATAAGGGTATCCCTACGGGTTCTATAAGGGTTCCTTTAAAGGGATCTATATTACTATATGGGATCTGTAGGGGGGTCTTACAGGCTCGGGGGACTTAGTACCCTTAAGGGGATCTATGGGGTTCCTTTAAGGGCTCCTTGAAAGGGATCTATTGTGCCTTGCACGGCCCCTGCGCACCATGTCCTTCTCCAGTCCTGATTTTCGGAACAGCGACGACGAGAGTATGGAGCGGATCACCACTGAGGAGCAGCATGCCACCAGATCAGGCCCGAGCCTTCGCCTAGACGGCCGCGATGACGCCGAAAGCCACACCTACGCCTCCACAGAATTCCGGCTCCAGCACACCAACGCAATCTTGGCCAGGGTTTCGCAGGCCACCCAGCAATCGCCTCCTTCGGCCGGACGTTTGCGTGATGCTGACCGCAATCTGGACTGGGGAGATGCCATTGCCGGTGGGTTACGCTACGAGCAGAGCACAACTCTGTCTATATGAGACTATAAGACAACTACTTACTAAGTCCCCGGATCCTCCATTTACGGATCGGCAAGGGGACCCCCAAGCCTTCGTTCTGAAGGGTTGTAACCTCTATCCAGAGAGGGATTGGTATAAACCCCGAATTAAACCCTAAACCTTAAAGGCTACGGTCTGGGGTTCTACCAAAGTCCTTTGAGACACAAGCGGTTCTTTGATATAGCACTTTCTGAAAACATGGGATGCTAATGTAGAGCTCTAGTTATGGGTTGTTACCCAAAAGGGGCCCCTACAAATTTGTAGCAGGGCAAGTGAGTTTTCATGCGGTTTAAGTTTGTTAAATTATTTAAAAAACCCCGATATAGCCCCAAAAGAAGCTGGACAAGTAAGAAGTACGGTACCCTGAACCCGAATCCCTGCCTCCCGATTCTGTGAAACTGTAACTAGGGGCTTTCGGCCTTTGAAGGGATGAATGAGGCTCGTGGCACATAAGCGGGTGTTACAGCGCGTAGCCGGGGGGGGTTTGGGGCTTGAGGCTTGATTATTTTGTGGTCCCAAAGGGTCCGAGGCACCCAGTGAGTAGGGTTTCGCAATTGCTACTCCGGCTTGGGCAATATTCCCTGTATACGTACTTAGGACCCTTAGATGCCCACCTCCGGAGGGGAGTGGGGTGCTGGCTTGTGAAAGTATTATAGAATATGGACAATTTCAACAATTAGTCATTAAGGCCCCTTTAGTAGCGGCTTTCAGGGCTTTCAAAGGGATCCATAGCACTGGATTTCAAGCGACGGGGTGCTAAACCTCTAAACCACATTCATCCCCAAACCCTGATTGCCAAGACCCACCTCTAGCCCCTAATCAAGCCCTGTTCCCCTGAAGCCTCAAGCTTCAACATAACACTGAAGCCTCAAAGTCTACCCTGAACTCCACGGTTTTGGTATTTGCAAGGACCTGAACCCACGCTTAGATGAGGGGCTCATTACTTGAAGAATTGGCGCTATTACTTGAACCTGCTATAACCTGTCTTTTCAGGAAACAGGAATCCTTACAGGTAGGTTATGGGGCGGTACAATCGGGTTTATTTGAAGGGTTTCGGATTGGGTATTCAGGCATGTTTCTCCTTGGCAGTAGTTTGAGCTGAGTGGTAATGTAGGAACATGATTAAGAAACCCTGGGCCTATTACCCCAAAGTAGTACGATTCATTCAGGCCCAATTTTTTTAAAATCAGGTTCCTACATTATGCTTGCCAAGTCCGGAAGTCCAAAAGTCAAGTACCTCAGCCAGCCCTAAGGCTCCATGTGCCCATGCAGTATATACTTAGGCCCAAAAGTACCTATATAGGAACCCCTTCAAGCCTTAAGTATCTACTATAAACGGAGCCCTTGGGCAGGCGATGATGGGTCAGATGAACGTCGTTCCTGTCCTCGGCAAATCCTTCAACGAGGTTTCCCTCGGATGATCTTTGGGTTTACGGAGTTTTACGGAGTTCTACACCGAGGATCCAGAGTAGGTAGGCCCTCTTTCCATTCTTTTAGGGTTTAGGTTCCGTTATAACCCATCTTGAACCCATTAGGGCACCCTTTCTATTCCTAGGTTACTCTTAGGTCTAGGCATTCTCTCAACCCCAAGGTCTAGGAACCGAAAGCCTCAGCATATTTGCACCCAAAGGTGAAGATCTGAAGACTGCATGGGCGTGCACTTCCGCGACAATGTAGATTCCTGGTAAGTAATCAAACCCTTCGCTGTACAGCAGAAAAAGGATAACCAAACGCCCTGAGGCTCAACATTGAGTTGGTATCTGCAGTTGTTTTCAGCACCTAGCGCCTTGTGCAGTGTTCAGAGAAGGGTCTACTTGGAGGGTCGAGGACGTTGTAAGTAGGTAAGCATTCAAAAGGGGTCCTAGATAATTGGGCTTGTGATACTGCCAAGTACAGTACTTACTATGTCCTCCGACCCTGCAAGTAGATCTGCAAAGTCAGGAGCCAAAGGAAGCGCGCAGGCATAAGCGTGTGGGTGGAATGTTCTACCTTATTACCTTCAACCCGTGTGGTTTTTGCTTAGGTCCCTTAGGTGCTGCTGTGGGTTCTCATGGAGGCGGTGTTTGCGTATTCTACGAGCGTCGGTCCTGTCTGTCTCGGGTTTACATAGATTGGTGGCCCATGATTTGGAGATACGGGTTTTCAAAGGGGAACAGGAGGGACCTTAACGGGGACCCCTACCCTATAATGGGCTATATAATGGGTATATAATAGCTATATTAAGGGTATATACCTATGGGTCCTTATTAAGGGTCCCTCCTTTTACCCTTGGAGGTTAGGGAGGGTTTGAAGGTGTAAGGACTATGGGACAGTCCCACAGTTGCTTCCGATGCCATACTTGGAGGATCTTGGGACTTAGTAAGTATAAGGTTATAAGTGCCTGATTGAGAGTTATAAGTAGTTGTACGTGTCGTGAGCTTACGCATACCCCTAGCTACTAAGTCCCATGACCCGTCAAGTAGAGCGGAGTACCCGTATGTTGGGTTCCGCTTCAAGGTCTGGGATGTGGCCGGCTGTCGAGTTCAAAACGAGCCCGCGCAACCCGAGACTAAATTCAAGAGCCGAAGCCTGAAACAGGGTTCAGGGTTTAGGGGTTTAGGGTTTAGGGGTAGATAGCATAAGTTAGCATGCAGCAGACTCCAAATCCCTTATATGGGTAGTTGTCAAAACAGGGGTCCCTTGTTGAGTACCCCAAATATTAGGTGCCGTATTATAATCAGGACCCAAAAAGGGACCCTAATTTCGACAACCACCCATATAGTTAAGCAAGATACCATAAGTTGTAGGGGTTCCTTAATGGTAACGACTTCCTCTCGCCCGGCCGCGCGGACGACCAACAAAGAAATGAAGGAGGGGACAAAGGGCAGGGTGTGAGGGAGATTGTTGGGGAAGGGATTAAGAAGGGAAACCGAAAATTTGTCACGGCTTCTTTTTCTGTAATTAACCTTTAGGCTCCATGTGCCCATGTACATACTTAGGCTTCAATCTATCTATAAGGGAACCCGCTTAAGCCCGAAGTATATACTATATAGGTACATGGAGCCTTCGGGCGGTAATGAGATGTCCATAGATGTCCGACTGAGGCTTTCACTCTTTCACAACCCGAAACGCACGCCTCTCATGGTGAACTGTTGAGACACGGCTTGCCTTCCGAACGAGGTTTAGGCCTCGGAAATTTCCTTTGCAGCTACATTGAGACCCACTTCGTAATGATTGGCCGGAGAAAGGGCATGGACATAAGAAGCTGGCCGTACTACTTTCATTGTGATGGAGCATGATGTGTTGCCGCAGCCTGTGATATATTGTAATTCGGAGACGACGACCAGCAACTACAACTACAATTGCCATCACCATGAAACTAACTATTACTACTGTTGATGGACAATATCCTGCATTACCCATCGTGAAGAATATACAATAGTTCCCATAGCTTCGAGTCCTTAGGGTCATGCAGGATTTTGTCCATCAACAGTAGTTCTATTCATTGCAGTGTTGACGCTTCGGGGGATCGCTAGCGCGAGGGAAGCTTTCCCGTGGACTGCATAACTTGTGGAGTTTAGGTTAGGGTTCGCGGTAAAATGTTGTTGTTGCAAAGCTTGTGGAGAAAAGGAATAATTGCATATATATATATATATATATATATGTATACACATGTTTGCAGAGGCGCACGAGGACGATACATAGATATATGTATGATGTTTATTTGTTAATTTCCGCAAACTGTGGCCTGGAAAATCCCAAGCTTCAAACTTAGGTGGAGCTTGGACCCCCATTCTACTGTTGAGGGTCATAATGTGCCCTTTGTATCCTCAAGGGGTCCCAACTACGGTTAGGAGGGATACTTCCCCGAATCATAAACGTACTTCCTTATATGTACTTAGGACCCTTTGGGTCTGTACGCGGGCGTCGTTTTGATATGGGAGGTCTTCTTTGGATTGGTTCTTCAGCTTGTATGCTGAAGGTAGGTTTAGGATGTAGAGTGCTATCACTAGTATCATGCACGCGCAATTTGCATTCAGGCTGGGCCAAACTCGCCACCGGATGTAGGACAGAAACCTACATGCTTCAATCGCAAGCAAGCCAACCTGCGCGGCATCCCCACATTCCGCAGAATGCACGCACACAAACTATAGTGTGCCGCCTGGCATGGTTGGGGCATCATCCATGCATCATGCAGGATTTCCCTGTCCTCATCGTTGTGCTCGTGCTATGCAACCTTCTCAACGTGTCGCTGGGCAGCATGTCAACGGATCGATGCCAAGACACATCCACACTCACAACAACGACGTAGAAGCCGTGTGCAGGCCTGTACCTTTGGCACACTGTCCAACGTAATAACCGTAACGCCATGCACCTTGATTGTTTTAAGCTTCCACCCCTTGATATACACTGCCAGAAAACAGCATACCGAAATCCTGAAAGCGAAACCCCCAAAACACATGAAGAGCGAAATGTTCAGTACCCCAACCCCTAAAGCTGTAAATTCCTAACTGAGGTCTCAAGGTCTGAGGGAATTAACCGTTTCACGGCCTTTTTGGCGGTGCCTCAGGGAATCATTGCGTTTTGGGTTTAGCAATGTGGTATCATTTGTTTTCCGTTCGAAAGCATGCAGCAACGGCAAAACACCGGAGCTTAGGGTTTAGGCTTAGGGGTGTAGAGCTTAGGGTTTAAACTACTCTGTCGTCCTGCATAGTCCTGTTGCTCTTAAAGTGTCATTGGCCTTAGTAACCAGGGTTATGATTAACCTGGAACCTTACTTACCAAGGCCCATGATCCTCCAAGCTGTCATGGTTCGATGCTGGTAATGTTGGAAATGCCGTTAACATGGACACGAGTTTTCAAATGAGAGATTACTCAATAGCGATAGCACTGGTGGGCTTAGCAGTGTTCGCAATGGCGGCTATGGCAATGCTGAGAGTGATGGATAACATCACGGTATTCTAAGTCACTGACGATTGGTTTTGTTGAGGTTTAGGGTTTAC